AAGGTTTGCTGGTCTGATAGAGCTTGATGGAACCACTGAGACTATGGCCCCTAGCTGCCTTCAGATCTACAATTGAACCCACACCTGTGGCTTCCAGCCAAATAAAAGACTGGCATATATTTGCTGAACATTTACATTAGGTAAATACACTCCTTGGAGAGATCAATTGTGCAAGAATAGAAGGGCTGTGTATGCACAGGGAGACAGCTTAGGGGTCAAAAGTGCATGGAGGGATGGACACAGGGAAGAGGTAACTATGGGGAGGAAGTGGGAGGGTAGCTGTTGCATTGTGGGAAATTATAGTCAATGTCATGAGACAGAGTGTACGTGAGCTGCTGTATGGAAAGTGAATTTGCTCTGTAAACTTTCACCCAAATCACAATTAAAAAAAAAAAAAATTGGCCAATGAAACTTTATGGATCACAACAGAACACTGTCCGGTTGACTTGCTTGCTCTGGGTTCATCATCGGGGGGATCAATTGCTGGAGGAGGACATCATGTTTGGTGAAGCAGTGGCCCAGCGAGGGCCTGGGAGATCCTCTGTGCGATGGAATGGCACAGTAGCCAATGATGGACTGGAACCGGCCAGTGATTATGAGGATGGCACAGGACCAGGCAACATCTCATTTAGCCATACATGGGATAACCATGAGCTGGAGCCAACTTGATGGCAGCTAACAACAACAATTACATGCCAGACACTGTTCTAAGCATTAAATGACTGAGTCATGATTGACTCCCAAGAATCTTATAGGAAGCAACCATCTAGATGCAACAACGGGTCTTTCCTAGTCCAGAGTAAAGAACAATAATGAAAACCAAAGATGCATGGAAACAATTAGTCCAAGGGACTGGTAGACCATGTGATCCTCAGCCTATATGACCGTGAGACCAGAAGAACTAGACGGTGCCAAGCTACCACTGTCAACCACTCAGAGGGGGATTGGTGCAAGAGGTCCCGGATAGAGTGGGAGAACAATGTGGAACAAAACTCAAAATCATTAAGGAAAAAAAAACAAAAAAAGATTTGCTGGTCTGATAGAGCCTGCTGAGACCCCTGAGACTATGGCTTCTAATTACCTTTCAGGTCTGGAATTGAACTCACTCCTGTGACTTCCAGCCAAACAATGGACAGGTATATGGGGTGAACATATACATCAGGTAGATACACTCCTTGGAGCAATCAATCATGAGAGAACAGAAAGACAGTCTTTTCACAGGAAGATAGCTTGGAGGGTGGGAGTGCATGGGAGGGAAGGACACAGGGAAGAGGTAACTATAAGGGAGGAAGTCAGAAGAGAGCAGTTACACTGTGGGGAATTGCAGTCAATGTCATGTAACAAAAGGTATGTGAACTATTGCATGGAAAATGAATTTGCTCTGTAAAATTTCACCCAAATCATAATATAAAGAAAGAAAGAATCTTATAAGATAGGTACTATATGACTCTAATTGGTGTTCTATAGATGAGGAAACTGAGTTAGGAGAGATTAATGACGGAGAAGTTACATCGAGGCCTGAAATCACAGAGTGAGTGGCTGGAAGCATCCTGGCTCCGGAATCCAAGGCCTGAGCCTGATGCAACACCTGCTCTCAACCAAAGAGGCATGCTGCTCATAAACAAGAGCTGCCCCCAACTGCCTGCTGACCTTTTCAGGGACAATCCCACAGCCATGTTACCGCCACAGGGCTGACTCCATAAGACTAATTAGTCTTGGTGACTGTGGTAGTTAACTTTGTGTGTCAACTTGGCTGGGCCTGGCTGAGTGGCTGGGCAGCTAGATGTAGTTATTCCCCATGGTGAGATTGGTAATTGACTATAGTGTAATCTATTAAAGCAGCTGAATAGCTGCTTTAGGGATGTGGTCTGCTTCCCGTATATAAGACACAGCTTTGGGAACAGTCTCCAGCCTTTTGGCACACTTGAGCCCTGCACATAGTTGAGTCGTTGTTTGACAACCTGCCATGCCCTGCCGATCTTAGGACTTCATCTGGATTTCAATTAGTGGCCTACCATGTTGTTTGGTAACATTGGGACCATGCCTTTTTACTTGTCAACCTCTGGGCTTGTCAGCCTCAGCAGCCAACAGCTGTCTGAGTGAAAAAAAAGCCTCCACATCAGTGGGCCAGGAGCAGGAGGCAGGGCTGAAGCCCAAGGTTGAGGTGCTTTCATCCAGTCCCTAGAACCTGGCACTTTGAACTCGGACTTCTAGCCTCCAAAACTGTAGGAGAATGAACTCCTGTTTGTTAAAGCCATCCCATTTGTGGTATATTCTTGTCAGAGTGGCACCAGGTAACCAAAACTGTAACTAACTACCTTTTCCTGTGAATTCTGTGTACCCAACAAGAACCCGCCTTACCCGCTGGGTTGACGTGAAAATGGGCAGCCTGATGCCATCACATTCATACTGGCTGATGAAGCCCTGCTCCTGCACAAGGTCCAGCATGCCCTCCACGTGGCTGCAGAGTTTCCTGACAATGGCTGGCCGGTGACTCTGCAGGTTGCGGGCTGGGCAGGGTGATTGTGGGTCCCAGAGTCCATGCAACTCGAGGGGCTGGCTATTGGCCTGGGCCTCCTGAATAGCTGCAATGAGCTGCTTACAGCTCCAAGCCCCCTTATTCCACACCGTATCCAGGAGGCGTCTGGCCAAGTGGGAGAGGGGCTGGCCCAGAAGGCTGAGGCTCTCATAGTCCTCCCAGGACAAGACTTCCCAGGACAGCAGCCAGTCCAGGACACCTTCGAAGCCCTCCAGGGATCCTGAGACCAGCAGCCTCACCAACTGACTCCTCTGCGCCTGGAAACCCTCCTGTGTGCACATCTCACAACCTGAGGAGGCAAGGGAGTTCAGTTCAGAACAAGCCAGCCTCAGTTCTAGCCTCAGACATCATCCCATCCAGCCCCCCATTATATGGATGTGCAAACCGAGTGCCTGAGAGGGCAAGAAACTGGCTCAAGGCCTCAGACAGAGTTTGAAGCAGTTGGGAATTAAATCAAGACCACTGGCTCCCTATCCATGCTTGATCCCTAGCTTAAGAAATCTTAAAAAAAGGCACCCTTGAGCTAATGGATCAATGTCTCCCAAGGGATCAGGGAATTAATTCTCTTTGACACAGAGTAAGAGGCACTGCCATGTTGATCTGATTCAACTCACAGTAACTCTCCCTCCACTAAATCTAAGATTTATTAAGCAGATACCATGTGCCAGGTACCATTCGAAGTGCTCCCAGCTCAGTGGCGTAGTGCCTAAGGCATTTGACTGCTAATCAGAAGGCTGGCGGTTCAAACCCACCAGCCGCTCCTCGGAAGGAAGGTTGGGCAATCTACTTCTGTAGTGATACCACCTTGGAAACCCAAGGAGGGGTCGTTATGAGTCAGATCTGACTTGGTGGCAAAAACACAACACCTCTGAGGTAGGTGCTATGAGAAAAAAACTCAAACCTATTGCCATCAAGTTGCTTCTGACTCATGGTGACCCCAGATGTTATAGAGTAAAACTGTGCTCCATAGGGTTTTCAATATCTGAAACCATTACGGAAGCAGATTGCCAGGCCTTTCTTCCATGGCACTTCTGGGTGGGTTCGAACGATCAACCTTTAGGTTAGTCGTCGAAAGCAAACCATTTGCTCAACCCAGGGACTTTTAGGGAGCTCTGGTGGCATAGTGCCTAAGGCATTTGACTGCTAACCACCAGCCACTCCTTTGAAGGAAGGCTGGGCAATCTACTTCCATAGTGATACTGCCTCGGAAACCCAAGGAGGAGTCATTATGAATCAGCTCTGACTCACCAGACCTTGAGGTGCAATGATCAGTCCCATTTTGCAGATGAGGAAATTGAGGCACAGAGAGGCTAAGTGACTTACTTGTTCAAGGGCCCAGACCAGGTAGAGCTAGGATTTGAACTCAAGTAGTAGGAATCAAGACACATGCCTTTAGCTGCCTTATATATGAGTTCCCTACAGAGGCTCCCAGGAGCGCTGGTAGCATAGTGCCTAAGACACTTACTTGACTGCTAACCAGAAGGCTGGCGGTTCAAACCCACTAGCCACTCCTCGGAAGGAAGATGGGACAATCTACTTCTATAGTGATACTGCCTCGGAAACCCAAGGAGGGGTCACTATGAGTCGGGTCCAACTCGACGGCAAATAACAACAACAACAACAACACAGGCTCCCAGCCTACCTCTGTGCTCTGCTACCCTGAGAGGCAGACCCAGGACACGGCTAAAACGATCCCAGGACCACTCCTTGGGTTTCCAAGGTGGTTTATCTACAGAAGAAGATTGCCCAAGCTTCCTTCCGAGGAGTGGCTGGTGGGTTTGAACCACCAAACCTTCTGGTTAGCAGTCAAGTGCCTTAAGCACTACACCACCAGAGCTCCCTCAGGTGAAGGGCAAATAACTGATCCAAGTGAAGTCATGTATTAATTTCCCGGTGCACTGTCACCTGTCAGCACTCCTCTCTCTTTCTTCCTGTGCCTCCTTGCTCTGGAGCCCCCCTCCCCCTCTCCCACCACCACACAGTACACGCTGGCTGCACTGTCGCTGTCCCACTGTCACTATCAATGGCTTACTCTCAGCTGAGGCCTGAGGCTCTACATTCTGGGCCTCTGAGGGGGAAGTGACTTCCAGGAGCTTCAAGTCCTCAGGTAGCAGTGAAAATCTTTCAGCATGGTCCCTTCTATGACTGTCACATGGTCCAGATGTAAGGGATTGGTACTATACCCAGAGAAAATGAAAGTGGGAAAACGAAATGGGAAAAGCAAGAGGAAGGTGGACTCTTTTTACAAATTTGAGACATTCAAGCCCTCTGGGGAGGGAGCGAGCAGATGCCAAATGGCTTGGGGATTTTGCCTCTTCCTTTTGGCTGTTTATGTGTCTTCTTCCCTGCTTGGCCCAAGATGGGGCCTGGCATCTCTGAGTCTGAACCAGGGCTAGGCCTGGTCAAGGCCCCATGGGAAAATTCATGAATCAGAAATCCACTAAGGAAGGGGAGGGGGACGGCTGGAACACTCTGTGTCCTTCCTCATATGCTGGCCAAGGTAAGCAAAAGGAGAAATCACCAACTCTAAATGCTGTCAACATACAGGCTGGAGGACTGGCACTGGCCAGATGGGGAAACTGAGGCAGCAAAGCTATTTTTTGTGCATCTGGCAGCTTGGAGGGAGAGTTAACCCACTGTAGAGGCCACAGTAAACCAGGAACTAAAATAGTTCTCCCTGTCCAAGCAGGCCTTTTCCCTGTGCCCACTGCCAAGCTGAGGAGCCGAGAGAGTAGAGGTGGAGGTGGAGAAGGAGAGGTGGGAGGGACAGGAAGAGTTCTGGGCTTAGTCTAGAGTCGCCCTAAGCCAAGGTCAGAACACAGCCCCATTGCCACCCCTCCAGGTCCTGGGGGAAATGCCCACCCATTGTCCCTCTGGCTAGAGGCCTGCAGTACACATTTGCAAAATGTCTCTCTCTCTCAAGCAGAGAATTCTTTCTCTTCCCTGCACATGGCGAGAGCCCAAGCCACTCTGTCCCCAGTACCACCCATTAGGCGTGGTGGGGCATGGGAAGGCCTTGCGCAAGACTGGCAGGCCTCAATCTGTCCACAGATCTCACCTCCAGGGGAAATCCCAAAAGGATGGGCAGGAAGCTAGGGTTGGCGGGCCAGCCGCTAGGATTAGGTAATTCTCGATGGTTCTGGCACCAAGCCTTGTGCATCCACCATGACACTCACTGAGAAACCCCACTGGTGATGAGACACACAAACAAACGAGCTCCCTCGTGGAGGACACAATGAGAGGACGCAGGGGCCCTTCCCAAACACACCAGTTTGGGAACAGCTGACACAGGCTCTAGGCACAATGAACCCAGCCTAGCATTGCCAAGATTCTGTCATGTGAATCATCAGAGACCGCAAGGGAGAGGCAGGCCCCAGACATGAGGCTTGGTGTTTTGTCCTCCCACCAGCTGGAAAGTCCCACCTTTATCTGGGTCTTCTAGTCTTCTTCCTGAAACCTCAGAGCAGGGAAAATCCCTAAGGACCGACTCAGCCAGTTCTCTGTCCCCAAGCAGGTGTTGTCTCATCTTAACCATCTAGGGAGAAGGCCCTGATCTTGTTGCAATCCTCATTAACCATCTCAGGAAGTTCTTCATAATATCTAGCTTAAGTTTCATCTGTTTCAGTTTAAATTGGGAGAGAGAAAACAGATGTTGACCTATCACCTATTTATCGCCTGCTCAGCCTTCCTCTCTTCAGATTAAAGAAATCAGTCTAGGTCCATTTTCTTGTCTTATCCACTTCAGTTACTACAACTTTGGAATCATGATTGTCCTTTCTCAAGGAAAGTGCCCAGTGCCATTGAGTAGATTCCGACTCCTCGTGACCCCATGTGTGCAGAGTGCAACTCCCCGCCACAGGCTTCTCAAGGCTGTGACTCTCAGAAGAAGACTGCCAGGCCTTTCTCTGGAGACACCTCTGCGTGGGTTTGGACTGCCAAGCTTTTGGTTAGAAGTAAAGCACTTCCATGTGCCACCCAGGGAAAGTGAGGCCTGAGCAAAGAAAGGGCAGAGAAGCACTGTCTTGCTGAAAGAGTCAAGGCAAGGAAGTAGTCCCTGTTCCCAAGCCCAGCCCCCGGTCCTGACACCTCCTTCCTTCTTGACACCTCAAGGCAGGCCTGGGTTTCTCTGGAGCCATGACCCAGTTAGTTCCTTTGCTTATGTGCTGAATTCCCAGCCAGCTGCAGATAAGAGAGGTAGGGAGGGCCAAGGAAGTCCGCTAGGCTGGCTCGCTAGGCTGGCTCTCGCTGGGGCCATGCCTCCACTGGGGCACTGGGCCCACCCCCTCACCTCCTCCTGCCCCCCTCCATTCTCCACCCTCTTCATCCGGCTTCTCTAAAGCACAATTTCTCAATAGTCCCAAACAGATTGTAACTTCTCCCATCTTAAAAATAAATCTCTCTCTTGAACCCCCCCCCTTTTCGGCCAGGGTTCCATTTCTCTGCCCTCAGTGAAGCAGGACTCCTCCACAGTTGTTTGTAAGGCTGTTACCTCCCATGCTCTTGGATAGGGCTTTCGCCCCACCCCTCCTCCGAGACTGCTTTTGCTAAGGTCACCAGGGACTGCCATATGCATTGCTCACTTCTGAGCCGGCATCTTGCTCTCTCCAAGGGTATCTGCTGAAACTGCTCCCTCCCTCGTCCCTGGTGCATTCTCCTCATTAGCATCCAGGACACTCTACTCCTGGGTTTCCCTCCCATCTCACAGCTGCTCTTTCTCAGTCCCCTTGGCTGGTTCCTGATGCAAGTCAAGGCACGTGAATTAGTAAACTCTTCTCTTTTCCTTTTCACTTCTCCCTAAGTGAGCTCACCTGTCCTTATAGCTTTAAATACTAGCTAGAAGGTGATAGTGAAGGAGCTATGGTGGTGCAGTGGTTAAAGCGCTTGACTGCGAACCAAAAGTCAGCTATTCAAACCCACCAGCTGCTCTGTGGGAGGAAGATGAGGCAGTCTGCTTCCGTAAAGATTTACAGCCTTGCAAACCCTATGGGGGCAGTCCCACTCTGTCCCATAGTGTTGCTATGAGTCGGAATCGACTTGATGGCAGTGGCTTTGGTTTATATGGTGACAGAGTCGCTGGGTGTGCAAATGATTAAGCGCTCGTCTGCTAACCGAAAGATGGTTATTTGAGTCAACTAGACGTGCCACAGAAGAAAAGCCTGGTGATCTACTCCTAAACAATCCACTTGTGAAAACTCTATGAGCACAGTTCCACTCCGACTCACATAGGCTCGCCATGAGTCAGTCTACTTGACGGCAACTAATTTTGGTTTACATGGTGATG